AAGATGAGGCAAAATTATATATAGGAATTAAGATAGCACTCAGAGGGAACAGCAGAAAGAGACAGAGAGTATCAGGCAAGAAAGGAGCAATTTGAGAGCAGAAAAGAAGCTGTGTAGAGAGAGAACTGACTCAGAAGAATAAAGTATATGGACTAAAGAGTTTCGTGTACGTAGATTTCTTAGAGAATCCCTCAGATTAATCCACTGCTGGTAGCATCTCTTCTGGAACTCTGGGTGAAGGCAATCGAGGGGCTGAACCCCAATAGCTTTCGATACTTCAGATACAGCACCCAGAGGATCCGATCTAAAAGATCCCACCCTGAGGACTAGCTTTTATGGTACCAGAAGAGGCCACACAAGTGTCCAAAGGAGAGAATTAACCAATAGTGCTACCCAGCTATGAAGCCTATGAACGATACCAACAACCAGGATAGCATAACACATGCAAGAATTGGAAGTAACTAACAACTCTCTTAACTGGATTTAATGTTTGCTAACCAAGAAGGAAATCATGCCTGGTACTGGAAACCTAGCCAGCTCCCCAGAGCTAGTGAGATCATGGGTCTTGGAGGAGAGCCTACAGCTGTCACTTTACTAGGCCAGCACAGTTTCCAACTCCGTTCTAAATATTCACCCCTACACTCACAGATAAATGTAGTTCTCACCCCTCATCAAAGAAAAGTCTCTTTGCAACAGATGGAGACCATTAGAGAAAAGCACCCAACCGATCAAAATGCACAAAACAACTAACCATATCAGCTACAATTGATACACCCACAACACAACTCCTACACCTGAAGCTCAGGGAACATCCACAGGGGTGGAGGGGTAAGCACCAGAGGGGCTGGCCGTCTGGTGTCAGATTGTGTCTCCTAGAAATGTCAGGGAAGCTACACCCAGGAAGCTTCAACAACACAGTTCCCAAACAAGACCTGAACAAGGACCACACCAACAGACGTGCTAATGTGGAAAGGCAAAATCTCACGGGCCCCAACCCTAGACAAAGAACTACCGGCCAGGAAAGATTGCTGAGAACTGGAGAAACAGTCTTCCCCTAGGAAGAACCTTCAACTGATTATTCAATAACAAGTGATCAGCCCTGAAATTATATACATACAAGTAACATTATATAGACTTAGGTTGTATTTGTGTGTGTGTGTGTGTGTGTGTGTGTGTGTGTGTGTGTGTGTGTGTGTAACAATTAAAGAAAAGGCTATGAATTTCAGAGAGAGCAGGGGGTACACAAGCAGGACTGGAGTAACTAAGATATTCCAGCAGTTTGTGTCTAATGACAGCATTTGCAAATATACAAGAAAAAAATGGTAAGGAGTAAAATACGGTTCTCTTCAGTCTCAGTATGCTTAAGATAAAAGACCTGCCATGGAAAGGGTACCCAAAATAGAACTCAGAGGAATAGACTCTCAACTTCACACTGTACACAGATAATTTACAAATAATATAATATTAATTATATTAATTTCAAAAAACAAGAACAAAAAACAATCGCCAGGCACTGGGGTGCATGACTTTAATCCCAGCACTAGGGAGGCAGAGGCAGATGGTTATCTGTGAGTTCCAGGCTAACTTGATCTAAACAGAATTCCAGGATAGCCAGGGCAGCACTACACAGAGACACTCTTTCTCTCTCTCTCTCTCTTTCTTTCTCTCTCTCTCTCTCTCTCTCTCTCTCTCTTTCTCTCTGTCTCTGTCTCTCTCTCTCTCTCACACACACACATGTGTATGTAATATGTATACATTATATATAACATATATGTTAAATATATATTTTTTAAAATAGGGTATTTATTAGATTGGCTTATACAATGTATTAGTTGGGGTTACTATTGCTATGATGAAACATCATTACCAAAAGCAAGTTGGGGAGGAAAGGGTTTATTTGGCTTACATTTCCCCATCACTGGTCATCATCAAAGGAAGTCAGGACGGGAACTCAAACACTGCAGGATCCTGGAAGCAGGAGCTGATGCAGAGGCCACAGAGGGGTGCTAATTACTGGCTTGCTTCTAGTAGCTCTCTCAGCCTGCCTTCTTATAGCACTCAGGACCACCAGCCCAGGGGTGGCCCCACTCACAATGGCCTGGGCTCTTCCATATCAATCACTAATTAAGAAAATGTTCTACAGGCTTGGCTACAGCCAGCTCTACTGGAGGCAGTTTCTCAAATGAAGTTCCCTCCTCTCCAACAACTCTCTCTTGTGTCAAGTTGACATAAAACTAGCCAGCACATGCAATACAATCTGGGTTAGTGTGACAATGGTTGTCTTCACACGGGAACGACTGACCAGTTTGCAAGGCTGGATACCTCTGTAGTCCTAACCTCATGCTGAAAGCCTAGAGGATCCCTGGAGATCCACTAAACTTCAGTCCATGTCGGAAGTCCAAATAGTATCAGCAAAAGAATGTAGCAGCAGCAGTGGTAACAGCAACAAAAGCAGCAACAGGATAGATGAACTTACCAGCAAGACTGTAAGAGCAAAGGAAAAGCTCTCCTCTAGGACTTCCTTTTAATTGAGCTGCCAATGGAAGGTAACACCCACATGAGTCTTCCCACCTCAGACAACTTAACCAAGAAAATCCCTCACAACTATCAATTTTAATTGATTCTAGATCCAGTTAAACTGACAACCAAGGCTAAACATCACATATATGGACAGTTTTCGAATCATGGCAGCTGACAATTCCTGAATATCTATAGCATGAGAAGTTAAGTTTAATGAAAAAAGAAAAGATTGGAAAAGAGTAAAAATATGTTTCTCTTCAGTCTCTTCATGCTCAGGATGAAAGACCTGCCATGGAAAGGATGCCCAAAACAGAACTCAGAGTAACAGAATCAACTTCACACTGTGCACAGATAATTGGCTGATGTATTTGTCGAAACAGGGTCTTGCAATGTAACTGAGGTGGCCTGGTGCTCCCTGTACAGCCCAAGCTGGCCCTGAACTCAATCCCTCATGCAGCATCCCAATTGCTAGAAATACAGACATGTACAACTATATGCAAATGTGACCAATTATATCAAAGAACACGTGGCAATCGAATTGACCAGGGGATCAGTAAGTCAAGGAAGATAAATACTACAAAAAGAGGAAATTTCGGATCTTTTGGCTTTTCGTTGGAATAGGGCATTCTTAAACTTCATGGAGTTTACTCAAGTAGGCACTTGAATGGGTATTAGCCTCATTCTCAGATGTGAGGATGTTCAACATTCCAGTTTTTCTGAAATAGTCGCAAAACACAACAGAGACCTAGTCTACAAATGGGCCCAGAGAAGGCAGTATATATTTTTTGCAGAGAAGAGAATTCTGAAACTCACAACATGGGTGATATGTCTACAATGGGTGCCTACTACCCTGATGTCAGACACAGAAACACACACACACACACACCAAACAAACAAACAAAAAACACTGAGTGATCCAAATTTTCCATGCTTCATTCAAGGGACTATATATGAACTTCCAAGCTTTGGGAACAAAGGAGGTGAAAAATCTCCCTAGACCTCAGGCAGGGGAGTAACTGTAAATACATGTGTAAGCACATCCATGGGGTAGTCATAAGGTAGAAAAGGGGTTTAAAAAAACAAACGAACAGTTCCCTGTACAGTCCTAGAAATCGTTTCTAGTATATGCTTACAGGAGCTACATAAAAGCATGGATTCTAATTTATTTAAAACAGCAATTTAAGCCAGGCGGTGGTGGCGCACGCCTTTAATCCCAGCACTCCGGAGGCAGAGCCAGGCAGGTCTCTGTGAGTTTGAGGCCAGCCTGGTCTACAGAGCGAGATCCAGGAAAGGCGCAAAGCTACACAGAGAAACCCTGTCTCGACAAACCAAAAAAAAACCCAGCAATTTAACACAGGGCTGAGCATAGCCTTTAGAAGGGCTATCACCAAAAAGATAACCCAGCCCTCAGGAGACATCAGCAAAAACAAGGAAACTTCCAGGTCAGCCTGAACTACGAGAAGAGAAGTCTGTCACTAGAAAGAAAAAGGCGGGAAAGAGGAACATAAACACGGGGAGTGAGATGTAAATGTAATCCTCAGAAACTATTGGAGATGACAAATTGACTATCAGAATTTTTTTTAAATGTGAAAGCTCTTCAAAAATAAAAAAATTAAAATTGTCTTACTGTATGACCCAAAAGTCACAATATAGAGTAAGTATACCAGGATGAGAACACAGTTATAGTACAGTCGCCAATATGTAAACAAAATGCAGTGTCTTCATATACAATATACCAAAGGTTCCCCCCAGCCCCCTTGGCATCCAGCCGCTCCTCTTAAAGGCTGCGTGCTCACAGATCCACCCTAGAACAGAATCCAGGGACTCCCCCTTTATTATACAACTCCTATCCTGAGACGGGGCAGCTGGGAGCACCTAGTATCCGCACTTGATGCCAGGAAGCATGGAAATGCAGTTTAAAAAAAAAAAAAAAAAAAGTACATTTGGAGGATGAAACGAAGACACACCACCTCTGAAAGATGCCATGATGAAGTGTCTGTGCGATGAGGGAAGTGTGACATGAAGAGTTTTACCAGGACTCTTAACTATCCTGTGCTTTCTTCAGCTCCGGGGCAACGTTCACGAACACAAAACAAGTCCTTTCAAATTTGCCACCTGATGTGCACCGGGGGAAAGAAAAATAAATAAAAAGCACGGAGTTTGTTTGAAACCTACGCGGGGACAGTTTGATGTGAAGACAGGAAGCTGGCGTGGGAAAGTCTTAGGAATTGACTGTCCTGAGTGGATGCCGCCCATACATTAGGATGCTCAGAAGGGGGCTCGGGGACCCCAGCCCAGAGCTCCTGTCAGTCAGGACCCGCACTCAGGGAGTCGGGTTGTCCCCAAGACCCCGCCATCGGGCTGCCAGGCCTGTGCCCCAGAGCCGCCCCAGAAGGAATCGATCGGCGACCCGCCGCTGACCCCGAACCGCTGCAGCTACCGCGCAGCCCTCGCTACTAGGAGGCCGGGCCCCGACTCACCATGTCCGGATTCCGGAACGAATTGTTTCCGCGGTGTCCCGTTCCGGGGGAGTCCGGGTTCCCGGGTCTCTGGGTTCCGCAGTGTCCCGTTCCGGGGTCTCCAGTTCTGGAGACACGTTCCGGAGTGTCCGGGTTCCGAGGTGTCTAGGAGTCCTCGTGTGAGGTCCAAGTGATGAGGTCACAGGCTGACCAGCGACAGCGAGACCGGAAGTGCAGATCGGAAACAGATCCCACCTTGGCGGTGCCCCACACAAAGCCCGCCCAAGGCTGAAGCCCATCTCAGGGGCAGTTCTCAGCCTAGCAGCCCTGCATGGAGAATGCTTCCGGGCTCCCTGCATCCCTGATAGACAGTGCAAGTTACCACTTCCAGGCTGAGTAAGGACACAATGACAGGTCTTTGCTGCACAGAATTTTATTTTAAAGATTTATTTTATTTTTAAATATTTTGGGCAATTCTCTGAGAATTTCGTACAATGTATTTTGACCAACTTGTATATTTTGCATTCCCTTATAGTTGCTTCAAGTCCCTATTAAATATTTGCAAATTGTAATTTTCATTTCTGGCCTTGTGATAAGCAACTGGTATGTCAACATAATTTCCACTGTTCTGGAAAGAATACTCTGATGAATACAGAACCTTTTTTTTTTTAATACAGAATCTTATATTGACATTCTTTTTTTCTGAATTTAAAAATGTAACTTTTTGTTGTTTGCTTGTTTGTTTTTTCAAAACAGGATTTCTCTGTGTATCACTAGATGTAGAACTCACTCTGTAGACTAGGCTGGTCTCAAACTCAGAGCCTGCCTCAGCCTCCCCAGAGTGCTGGGATTTAAGGCATATGCCACCACACCCGGCTTCATTTTTTAATTTCTATTTTTGATTACACATTTCTGTAACTGAGATCATACTTTCCTATATATGTATTGATTTTGCTTCTTTCTTAATTTTCAGTTAATCTTTGGATCTTACCAGTTTGACTACGGTGTGTGTCTTAGGGTTATTATTGCTGTAATAAACATGACCAAAGCAACTTGGGAGGAAAGGGTGTATTTTGCTCAGGCTTCCACATCACTGTTCATCCTGGAAAGAAGTCAGGACAGGAACTCAAACACGACAGAAACCTGGAGGCAGGAGCTGATGCAGAGGCTGTGGAGGAGTGCTGCTTACTGGCTTGCTCAGCCTGGTTTCTTCTAAGAATCCAGGACTATAGCCCACAATGGGCTGGGCCCTCTCCCATCAATCACTAATTGAGAAAATGCCCCACAGGCTTGCCTGTACCACAATCATGTGGAGGTATTTTCTTAATTATGGTTCCCTCTTCACAGATAGCTCTGTATTGTGTGAAATTAACCAAAAAAGAAAAGAGGAGGAGGGGGAGGAGGAGGAGGAAGAGAAAGAGGATGGCAATAACACAGTGGGCTTTGGGGCATTTCAAATCATAAGTCAAACAGATCAGCTTTCACTGAGAAAGACAAGCTGACTGGAAATGAAAGCCTCTTAATCAGATGCAGATTAAGGCTTGATTTCTAAGAAATGATGTACAGAGAAGTGGAGTCACACAAAGAATGGCTTTCAAAGAGGTACTAGGAGCATAGGATGCCAGTAATTTATACTACAGATCACTAGACCCATTTGCACAACCTTCAGAAATGTTGTGGGGTACCCACCAGAGAAGACGGTTTGAACATGGGTTTAAGCCAATAGGAAGTTTTTGTTAGCCAGCTAGCAATTGCACTGGGTGTTCAGGATCCCAGTGTCGCCCTGAGCCTTTCTCAGGGTGAGCTTTTAAGCACACACACACAAAAACATATCCCAGTTGACATACTTCAGATGCAAGAACAGTTAGCTAGAAGCAGAACTACAGAAACCAAAAAGCAAAATAAGTACATTTAAAGACTTTTCCAAAACTATAGACTTTCATGGATTAGATCTTTGTTTTCATTTTGGCTAGTGATGTTGTCTATGTGATCAGCTTTAGGGCCTGAATGGTACTTCCATCATGGAGTCAGTCATGTTAAGGTCTGGGGGGCCTGTTACAAAAGGAAAATGATTACTGCCTTGCTTCCCAGGGCTTGCTCAATTACTGTTCTTAGGCCCACCTACCTAGGAATGGCACAACCTGCCTACAAATGGCACCACCAGACGTGGGCTGGGTCCTCCTACATCAATTAGCAATTAGGCCAGTCTGGCAGAAGCTATTCCTGGGGCTGGAGAGATGGCTCAGGGGTTAAGAGCACTGACTGCTCTCCTAGAGGTCCTGAGTTCAGTTCCCAGCAACCACATGGTGGCTCCCAACCATCTGTAATGAGATCTGGTACCCTTGTCTGGCCTGCAGGGATACAAGCGGGCAGAACACTATATACATAATAAATAAATAATCTTTTAAAAAAAAAGCTATTCCTTAATTGAGGTTCGCACTTCCAAATTGACTCTGAATTGTGGCAAGTTGACAGCTTAAGCTAACTAGGACACTAATTGTCTTAGTTACTCTTCTATTGCTGTGACAAAAAATCATGACCAAGGCAACTTATAGAAGAGTTTATTTGGGGCTTACAGTTACAGAAGGATAGAAATCCATCACAATCATGGCGGTGGTCATGGCAGGAGTCAGGCAGGCGTGGTGCTGGAGCAGGAGCTGAGAGCTCACATCCTAGTGCACAAACATAGAGCAGACACACACCAGGAAATGGTCCAGTCCCTTTGAAACCTCAAAGCCTGTCACCCCAGTGACACCTTCCTCAAACAAGACCACGTTTCTTAAATCTTCCCCAAAACAGCCACCAACTAGAGACCCAAATATTCAAAAGCCAGAGGCTTACAGGAGACATTTTATTCAAACCACCACAGTCATGGTGTTTTACCACAGCAATAGAAAAGTAACAGATTGTAGATGGTACCAGGAGTGGGGTGCTGCTGGGAAGAAACTGACCGTGTTGTTTTGTGGAGGACTTTGACATTTTGGAGTAGAAAAGTAGATGAACACTGTAAGCAGAGCTTAATGGACCATCCTAGTAGGAGACAGGAAGGTAGTAGTGGTGAGGGCTATGTGGACTGTAGAGGCTGGGATCAAAAGGTTTCACAGGGGAATGAAGCAACTGAGCTTACATTCTTTCAAAGGATGTAGCTGTTTTCTGCCCTGGTCCTAAGAATTTGCTGGGTTTAATAAAAAAGCAATGGACTAATTCTTTGATGGAGATTTCAAGACAGTCTAATAATGACCCTTTTAAATGGTTATTGGTGATCACTCTTATGCAGGTCTATGTTGAAAAATAGCAGCTGGGAGTTTTTAGATGAAATAAACACTTTCCTCCCCAAGTTGCTTCTAGTCATGGAATTTTATGATATTGATGGACACCTAACTAGGAAACTTTTGTACCTGGGATCTGGGAGGCTAAGCTCAGGTCCTCGTACATGCAAACACAAGCCCTTTACCCACTTCACCCAGTGGGTCATCGTCACAGCCTCATGTCTCAGTCTTGATCAGAGCCAAGGGCTTGCCGTAGTTTCTCTGGGGATGCTGGAGCCACAGCAAGTACAGTGAAGATGGTCATGTTGGATTTCAAGATAAAAGCCAAAGTCAGGCCACAGGAGGAAACACGGGTTAGAACTGTAGGAAACACCTCACATTAGTTACAAGTTTGAGTTTTAATTTCTATTTTTTATTAGCATATTGAAGGTGTACAATGTGTGTGCATGGCTGTCCATGCCAAGATGTGTGTGCGTAGGTCAGATGACAACCTTCCAGGTGATTCTATCCTTACACTTTTACGTAGGTTCTGGGAATCGAACTCAGGTTACACCTCTAGCTCCTGAGCAAATGTGTTGGTCCTTGAACTTATTCTCGGTCCTTACATCTTTTACTGAGGTGAGACTTTTCCACAACCCCCACACTCCCCTATGTAACCAGTGTACAAGATTGCAGTCCAAAGGCCAAGAAGCCCTGGTGTACATGTCTTGAGTATTTCAGTTCAAAGGACTGTTTCCCCAAGTTCATAAGGAAGAAATTACAGGGTACTAGTGCACTCCTAAAAGATCTTATTTCCTAGGCCATGGGTCACAAAAGCATAAATTATATGACCGCACTGGAGGAAAAAATTAAGGTTGTTTTTGTTTTTATTTTTAGTAGTGTTGTTTTAGGGGTCGGCATTATCCCCTCAGTATGTTATGCACATCTTTCATTTGGAAAAAAAAAAAAAAAAAGTATCCTAGGTGTGGAGGTTATTCACTCAACCCAGGGTCCTTTCCAGGTGTAGTCAATAAAAAAAAGAGCTATGGTGTTGGCTTAGCCCCTGTCAGAACAAGAGAGCCAGCTGTAGCAGCGTGTGTGGGGATGGAGTATGGTCTTGCTCCCCTCACAGCTTGAGCCAGGGCAAGCTGCTGCTTGTGGGGAGACTGACAGGTAGGAAGCTCTGCCATGGCCCTGCAGCAGTGGCCACACTCTGGGATGATGCTGAATGGCTTGTGGAAAATGACTGTGGATAGTGTAGGGCTAGATGAGGCAGTGTCTCTGACACATTCTAACTGTACCTAGTGCTGAGAGGCGGCAAAGGAGGCCGCTGGGGACCGACTTGGCAACTAATCCAGCCAGTTGGTAAGCACCGGCTGGAGACCAATAGAGGAAAATAGACTCCACCTTGGGTGTCCACATACACATGCAGGAGTACACACACACACACACACACACACACACACACACACACACACACCACACTATATATACACACACTTCATAGACACACACACAATGCATAAACACAAATGAATAGAGAACTAATATAAAAAATATACATGAAAAATGGTCAACACCACCAATTATGTATAAATCACAATAAAATATCACCCTACTGCAAGTGGAATGGCTAATATAAAAATGCAAAAACGTAGCCAGGTGGTGGTGGTGCATGCCTTTAATTCCAGCACTTGGGAGGCAGAGGCAGGCAGATCTCTCCCAAGTTTGAGGCCAGCCTGGTCTACAAAGAGAGTTCCAGGACAGCCAAGGCTACACACAAAAACCCTGTCTGGGAAAAAAAATGCAAATATGTATTGATAACAATGTGGAGGCCAGGTGGTGGTGGCACACGCCTTTAATCCCAGCACTGGGGAGGCAGAGGCAGGTGGATCTCTGTGAGTTCGAGGCCAGCCTGGGCTACAGAGTGAGTTCCAGGACAGGCTCCAAAGCTACGCAGAGAAACCCTGTCTTGAAACACCAAAAAAAAAAAAAAAAAAAAAAAAAAAAGACAATGTGGAGCAAAAGGATTATTTATACAATGTTGATGGAGATGTAAATTAGGACAGCCATTGCATAGACTAGTGTAAATGTTCTTCAATAAACTAAACAATACCAGATGATCCAATAAGCACATTACTGGGTATATACTGAAAGGGAGTGAAAGCATCATGTTGAATAGATGTGTGTACTCCCATACACTGCAGTTCCACTTACAATAGCTAAGACATGGGAACAAAGTATCCATCAATAGATGAAGCAGAAAGGACACACGTTATATGGACAAAATGGAATACTATTCATTAAAACTTAAATTCCTTGGTTTGCAACATGAATGGCCTCAAAGAATAACACATAAAGAGAGCACCATATGTTATCAAATAAGAAACTCGTGTGTGTGTATGTGTGTGTGTGTGTGTGTGTGTGTGTGTGTGTGTGTGTGTGTGTGCGCGCGCGCGCATGCTAGATAGAGACACAGACAGACAGAGAGACAGAGACAGGGACCAAGTCTTACATAGCCCTTGGTGTCTTGGAATGCTATGTGAACCAGGCCAGCCTCCATCTCATAGAGATATGCCTGTTTCTGCCCCTGGGATGCTAGGGTTAAAGATATGACAACTTACCCAACACATTTTTTAAAAGTATTCTTCACAAAATAGAAAGTAGAACAGCTGCTTCCTCGGTGAAGAGTGGAAGACAAGGGATTGATGGTCAGAGGACTTGATAGTTACACTTAGAGAGGAAAAATACTTTCTCCTGCCCTCTTGCATCAGTGGTTCTCAACCTTCCTAATGCTGCAACCCTTGGATACAGTTCCTTATTGTTACACGAGCCACAGCAGAAATACAAAGTAGAAATTCAGCTGTATGTGACAAAGCTATACCTGGAAAAAAATCAAGGAATTCTTTCCAGAGGAGAAAGCCAAATCTCAGGGAGTATTTGGTATTATTCGGCTTTTAATGTATCCGTTATTTCCTGCCATGAATTTCATATGTGCTCATAACATCCCCAAGAACTTTAACAGTGTATTTATCTGAAATACTCCTCAAGCATCCTAGGCCATAACAGGAAACAGTCTCCTGAATTAAGGTAAACATCCTTCCAGAGACACTGCCTGACCCTAACTGCATGGCTTTTGTTTCTTGTGCAAATGAAGCTCAGACCCTCCATCCTCTCAAAGGCCAAATGGCATTCCAGAACATTTGACTAAGAAGAAAAGGATTTTTGCATACTAAGTACAGTGAAGCCTTTAAGGCAAGATTCAGAGCAGAGTTGCTTGGCCCAAGGAGAAAGCAGCATGGAGAGTTTTTCAGACTGTAAGTGGATTGAGTCAGATCAGGAGAGCAGGAGAGAAAAAGGATGAAATGAATGGAGGATTGGAGGAGAAAGATGAGGTCCAGAGCAAAAGAGCTTAGTTAGGACTCGGAGGAAGAAAAGGGACAGAGAGGAGCTGAGTGGGAGAACAAAATTGAAGCTCTGTCGATAGAATTTTGTCTTAGAGGAATAAAGTGGATGGACATAAGAGCACCGTGTACTTAGATTCTTTTCCCTCAGATTATACACACACACACACACATACACCGCCGTTCTTAGCGTCTTCCCCATTACCCACAACCATAAATTATTTCACTGCTATATCATAAATATAATTTTGCTAATGTTATGAATCTGAGATGCAGCCTGATATGACTGTAATGTAAATGTCTGATATGCAACCCCCAAAGGGGTCACAACCCACAGGTTGAGAACCTCTGTCTTAAATGATAGCATGATACAGGTAATGCTACCTTCACAAATTAACTAGAAGACATTCTCAATAGTCTTAGGATGAGAAATGAGAAAGGGTTAGGCAAAACGTATGGTAACTATACATTTGATTACAAGGTTTATACATTTTAAAACTTCAAACCATACCTCATATAACAATTATTATGGGTCTATAACAAATATTTTAAATGTAGAACTCCCAGAACCCCAAAATACAACTGTACCATAGAAATTCATAACTGTGAATCAGAACAGGAAGTTCCTACATGAGATGGAAACGGAAGAGAAAAAGTAAAATCCATCGAACTGTGACAGAGGATTATACTGTGCATATGTAGCTCAAGGTGAAACCAAGAGTCTATGAGACAACATGAATAACTAAAAATAACTACCCACACCACACAAACATATAGACATACACATACAAATACACTATATGTACACACTTCATAGACACACACACACACCACACAATGCATAAACAATAGTGCATAAAGACCTAATATCAAAAAATACACATGAAAAAAGGTCAACACCACCAATTATGAGGAAATCACAATAAACTAACACCCTACTGCGAATGGAATGGCTAATATAAAAATGCAAATACTTAGCCAGGTGGCACATGCCTTTAATTCCAGCACATGGGAGGCAGTGCTGAAATTCTCTAAAAAAGATTTTTATGTGCATTGGTGTTCTTGTCTGTATGTATGTCTGTATGAGGATGCCAGATCCCTAAGAACTGGAGTTACAGACAGTTGTGAGCTGCCATGTGGGTTCTGGAAATTGAATCCAAGTCCTCTGGAGGAACAGCCATGCTCTTAACCACTGAGCCATCTCTCCAGTCCTCCCACTAAAAAAAAAACTTTGGAGTGTCCACACTGAAGCCTTATACAGGCACACTCACTCCACATTAACATACATTCACTTTCAGCAGCTACATGAAAATGAACATACTTTCTGTTTTGTTTTTGAGGTAGTCTCACTCTACAGAGCAGGGCATACTTGAGCCTGCCTAGGCTGGCCCACCTCAGTTTCTGAAGTCTGGGATTAGAGTATAAAACGCTACACCCAGCAACAAATTCATTCCAGTGGTGAGAACTGTGTACTGCTTCTGGGGCATCTGTTATACTCTATTTCTGTTCTGTGTCCTTGATTGCTTCACACGAATGTCAGAACCCTGTAAAGGATGGCTCCCTAGTTGTCATCTGAGGAAACTGGGTCAGCAAATTTCACGTCACTTATGTAATGGAAAGGAAGAATTATCATCTTATTGTTAAGGAAAAATGATGCCTGGTGTGATGGTGCCAGCAACCAGCCCCCAAATCATGACACAGAGACTTAGATTATTAGTTAGGAATGCTTAGCCTTAGCATATGCTTGTTTCTGGCTAGCCTTTTTTCTCTTAAACTTTAATTAACCTGTTTCTCTTCATCTACATTTACCTTGAGGTTTTTTTAATCTTTCTTTCTGAATGTCCTACTCTGTGTCTGCTGGCTGCCTGCCCGGCCTTAGGCATCTCTCTTTCTTCCTCATTCTCTTCTCTCTTCCTCACTCTCAAACCCAGATTTCTCCTGCTACTCATTCTCTCTTCCCGCCAGCCCCTCCTAGCCCTCTCCTGCCTAGCTATTGGCTGCTCAGCTTTTTATTAGAGCAATCAGGTGCCTTAGGCAGGCAAGGTGCAACAGCAACACAGCTTTGCATCATTAAACAAATGCATCATAAACAAAAGTAACACACCTTGACACAAATGCAGCATAAAAAAAAACACACCTTTACACAGTTAAAGTAATATTCCACAGTATAACCAAATGTAACACATCTTTGCCTAGTTAAAATTATATTCCATAACATTTCCCCTTTTATCTAAACAAAAAAGTTTTAACTTTAACATAGTAAGACTATATACAATAAGAACAGTTATCAAGTAAGAATTACATTTACAATATCCAGTCCATTCACATTTGGCAAATTCAGAGAAAATAATCCATTATTAATCCTATCTTAGTGAGTCCAAAATTGTGTACCTAATTTACCTTCTAACATAACTAAGAGAAAAACTATTACTATCTAGTCTTCAACTCCATCAAAGACCCCAAAGTAAACAGAAAGTGTAGTGCAAGCCACTTTCAAAACTACAGAAATGACAGACATCTGGCTGCCTGGACAGTCACACAAGGTGACTTCAATGTTGGGGCATCCATCTTTGGCCTACAAGTCAAGGCTATATGGCAGAATTTTGAAGGACTGCCCCGCCTAGTCTTGGCAAAGTTTGACAGTTGTTTTCCCATGTGTCCTGCAGAATGTCTGGCAGGCTTTTCTATGCAGTGGGAAATTTGAAGGACTCTTCTGTCTAGCACAGGTCAACAGTCTTTTTCCTTTGTGTCCTGCTTGTCCAGTCTGTACAGTCAAGGCAAGAGCAATTTCTTGCCCAAATGGCTAGTTTTGCCACATTGGAAGCAAACTCCATATGGAGGTTCTTTGATGCCCATCATCTTCTCTGAAGTAAATTGGTGCTGCCAGGAACAGATGCGTCTCACTGTCATAAAGAGCCTCAGGTTATTAAACATCTTAATGTCATAGTCTATAGGTCTTTGAAGTGTATGAAGACCATCTATCTATCTAAAATACATCTCTGTAGTATCTTGAAAACATACCTAACATAACAATAAGTTTGAGTGTTATAGATGACTAACTACTAACCCTTATGCCTTTTTTTTATTTTTTTATTTTTTTTTCTGTTTGGAGACAGGGCTTCTCTGTATAGTTTTGGTGCCTGTCCTAGATCTTGCTCTGTAGACCAGGCTGGCCTCGAACTCAGAGATCCGCCTGGCTCTGCCTCCCAAGTGTTGGGATTAAAGGTGTGCACCACCACAGCCCGGCCTAACTCTCATTTCTTAATTATACATTACATTTTTAAATGAGCTGCGTAAGCAGAAATACCCCAATCTAGAGTAGAAACATGCATTCACCATAACAAAAATAACTTTAAATTTGTATCACTATACCAAAGTCCATACCATAGTAAAATATTTGAGATTAATAGTTGTCTTTTTATCCTATATTCCTTCATCCTCTCTTAAACAATGACAAACATCCATAACCCACTGAATGACCAAAAACCACCCACCCCACCACTTGGAAATGTGGGCATTGTGTTCTCTAGACTACTTCCTGTTTTCTATGGGTGAAGGCATCTTTAGGGAACCTGAGAAAATTGAGTTAATGATCAAGTCCTGGGAAAACTAGTTAAAATATTTGTTGTCCAGTCTCTGTGCGATGTGAAAGCACAGGCTTATCTGCAGTCCTAGCTAAAATAGTCTCTGAGGCTTGACCATATCTCAGCCAACAGCCTTGAAGCTGTTCTGGATGCAGAACCCTCAGGAAATACAACAGAGGCACTCTGAGAGGCTAGATTACCTGGGCCACCTGTTTTCATTGGTGTCTGGTCCCGTGGCTCTGAAAACACACAAACTTTCAAAGATAACATACATATCTGCATTAATAGAAGTTTGGACTGTGCATCATACAGAAGCCAGCCAAAGATGATTTTTTTTGTTTTATGTTCGAGCAGGTAAAATATACGTCACCTGATTTATAGTTTTACTAGGTTTATTTTTTTTTATATCTGCAGCCCATATTTTCAAGAGTTCTCCCCCAGTCAAACATGATCTCTATCAACCTCGAATGAGTTCACAGCCTTTTGTTTCCTGTGAGAACAAAAGCATAACCACTGCCCCAAAGCAGTACATTATATGACTTCCATTTTAAAGTGAAGGCATTCCTAATGTATTTGATCTGATTTAATTCAGCAGTCCCTGTTACAATCCCATGTCTCTCAACAGCTGTCGTTCACTCATCAGCATTCAAACATTCAAAGACAACACAACACCATACAGGATCCAGACTCACTGTATATTTTTCATCTTTACATGTCATACCCTTTCTATATTACTTTACTCTTTCATTAAAGACTTTATTACTTTTAAACTATTTATTTTTTTCAATGATTGTCTATATTTCTTTCCTTTCTTAAGCCTACATGCAATTTTAAAAACACTGTAACCTGTTTAGAGGCTTTTTCTGTCTGAATCTGCTTTACTGCGTATCTCCATCCTTTTCTGACCACGTGAGCCAAATTTTAAATTGCTGAGCAGCTTTGTGCTGGCGTCTCTGCTGGCTGGCTCCACCATGCTCAGGTCGTGAAACTGAGTATTACACCCGTGGGCCTGGCTGAGAGCTGCATTTTTAAAACCAGGAACTTCATTCAATCACCCCAGCCCTAGGAAGTGGATGCCCACACTGTGGCAGGTGTTTTTACTTAGCCCATTCTTTCTAATTAGCGTGCTAGGTGCTCAAGGGCTCGGTGTATAACTGAGCCTCTTAAAGGAGCTGTATTCTCTCTCTCTCTCTCTCACCCTCCCCTTCCCCCTCTCTCCCTCCCTCTCTCCCTCCCTCTCTCTCTCCCTTAGCATTCTCAGTTCCTACGCGGAAATACACATCCACACTGGAACACCAAATATAGCAAGCTTTTTCTCTGTTGGGCCACCAACCAGCTCCTAAATCATGACACAGAGACTTAGATTATTAGTTATGAATGCTTGGCCTTAGCTTAATGCTTGTTTCTGGCTAATGGTTTTCTTTAACTTAAATAAATCTGTTTCTCTTCATCTACATTTTGCCTTGGTGCTTTTTAACCTTTCTTTCTGTATAACCTAATCTGTCTGCTAGCTGGCGGTTGCCTGGCTGGGCCTAGGCATCTCCTGCTCTTTCTGTCTCATTCTCTCCTTCTCTCTCAAGCCTAGATTTCTTCTCCTACTTATTCTCTCTGCCCACCAGCCCCGCCTACCCCTCTCCTGCCTAGCTACTGGCTGGCCAGCTTTTTATTAAAGCAATCAGGTACCTTAGACAGGCAAGGTGCAACAGCAATACATCTTTACATAGTTAAACAAATACAGCATAAACAAATGTAACACACCTTTACCTCGTTAACAAAAGCAGCATAGACAAATGTAACACATCTTTGCCTAGTTAAAATAATATCCTACAACATCTCTATGTATGTTCACTATGGTATAGCATCTTAGAATTAGTTTCTAATATAAAATTTAATTAAGCCTTCTCAAATATGGTAAGGGTTATACCAACAAAGTCATAAACTTCATGAGGCAAATCATACATTATGTCTTCCATGAGTAACAGGTAAATCACTAAAGAATAACAGGATATTCTAAACCAAGAACTTTGTCATTTTGAAGAAATAAGTTCAGTCAAAACAAAGTAAAAATTCTGCCCTCATAATATGTAAGGATTCTAGTTAGCTATAATTTGTCAACTCCTTTAAAATTAACAATTTGTTAATTCTATGTAGAATTCTATAATTCTCTTCACAATCATTATTCAAACAGATCCATCTACAATTCCCCTAAAATTTACTGATAGATCTTAATAGTTGGATACCTGAGTCTGTATAAATGGATGGCAAATATTTATGTGTGCTTTGAGACCAAGAAGGTGATATGGGGTGGGGAGGGTCTGGTAAAATTTTATAAATAACAATTCAAGATTCAGAATACTATGACACATTATTATACTCCTATAACCTTCATATTTTCTGGATAATTATTTAAAGGAATGAATAAAAGTTATTCATATAAGAAAAGTCTCATGGCTGGAGAAATGGCTCAGTGGTTAAGAGCACTGACTGCTCTTCAAGAGGACCTGGGTTCAATTCCCAGCACCCACATGGCAGCTCACACCTGTCTGTAACTCCAGTTCCACGGCTTCTAACACCCTCACACAGACATACATGCAGGCAAAACAATGAATACAAAATAAAAATAAATTACATTTTGCCAGGCGGTGGTGGTGCACACCTTTAATGCCAGCACTTGGGAGGGAGAGGAAGGCAGATCTCTGTGAGTTCGAGCCCAGCCTGGTCTACTGAGTGACAGCCAAGGTTACAGAGAAACCCTGTCTCAAAAAAACAAAAAAAGGTCGGGCGGTGGTGGCGCACGCCTTTAATCCCAGCACTCGGGAGGCAGAGGCAGGCGCATCTTTGTGAGTTTGAGGCCAGCCTGGTCTACAGAGCGAGATCCAGGAAAGGCGCAAAGCTACACAGAGAAACCCTGTCTCGAAAAAAAAAAAAAAAAAAGAAAGAAAGAAAAAAAAAGGGGGGGGGCTCCTCCAAATTCGTTAATAAATGATGGCACTGGGGAAATGGATTATGAGACATTCAATATTTCTCAATACCGTATTAAGTAGGATCTGCCACCTGCATTCTTGAGCACAGTGGTTCAATGACTGTGATAGAATGACATGTCATTCAATATATACCAGTGATAAAACATTCAGAATCTCTATCTGTTTACCAAAACAAACTTCACATACAATCTATACAACATTCCAATATTCACTATGTGATCTCTGAAGTAAATAGATCAATAATTCTCAGGAAGCAGTTCAGTGTTTCTATTGGAAGGACCTGAGAGTTGGGTCTTGTACAGCTTTAAACAGTGTGAGGCTATTTAGTAAGTGAAAATGGGTGCTATTCGCATCCATTCTTTACCTTTGTCATGTTTCCCTCACGTGAGTCCTTTGATGGCGAGTGAAATTTGAAGAGTTGTTAAAGGCTTTCCCGCACTGTTTGCATCTATAAGGCTTTTCGCCGGTATGAATTCTCTGGTGTCGGTAAAGGGTTGACCTGTCCTTAAAAACTTTGTTGCACTCTGTACACTGGTAGGATTTATCTCGAGTATGAATTGCCTGGTGCCGATGAAGGTGTGAAGAACAAGTAAAGGCTTTGTCGCATTCTCTGCACCGATAGGGTCTCTCTCCAGCATGAACCCTCTGGTGCTGAATAAGCTGTGAAGAGCAGCCCCAAACCTTGCCACACTCTTGACATTTGTAGAGGCTATCTCCAGCATGCACTCTCTGGTGCTGATCAAAGTATGAGGAACAGTGATCGCCTTTGCCACAGTCCTTGCATTTGGAGGGCTTCTCCACAGTGTGACTTACCTGGTGTATACTAAGCTGTGAAGAGCAGCTGAAGGCTTTACCACATACCTTACACCTATAGGGTTTCTCTCCAATATGAATACTTTGATGTTGGTTAAGGTATGAAGAGCGCCTAAAAGCTCTGCCACACTCATTACACGTGTACAGCTTCTCTCTAGCATGCATTCTCAGATGCTGGTTAAGGTGTGAAATATAGCTAAAGGTTTTGTCACATTCTGGACATCTGTATACACTCCCTTCCGAATGTATTTTCTGGTGTCGGTTGAAGTAGGCAGAGCAGTGGAAGGTTTTCTCACATTCGTTACATTTGTAGGGTTTCTCTTCTTTATGAATGATCTGGTGTCGAGTAAGGGTTGACCTGTTATTAAAGGCTTTGCCACATTCATGACATTTGTAGGGTCTCTCTCCTGTATGAATGATCTGGTGTCGAGTAAGGGTTGAGCGATAGTAAAAACTTTTGCCACATTCATGACATTTGTAGGATCTCTCTCCTGTGTGAATGATCTGGTGTTGGTTAAAGTATGCAGAACAGTGAAAGGCTTTGCCGCATACGTTACATTTGAAGGGTTTCTCTTCAGAATGAATCATCTGGTGTCGAGTAAGGGCTGAAGAATTATTGAAGGCTCTGCCACATACTGGACAAGTGTAGGGTCTCGCTCCCGTGTGAATGATCTGGTGTCGAGTGAGGTTTGAACTATTACTGAAGGCTTTGCCACATTCTGGACATTGGTAAAACTTCTGTCTTTTATGAGCCCTCTGTTGTTGATTAGAAGTTGTGTTATCAGTAAAAGCTTTGTCACATTCTTGATAGTTATGAGGCTTCTCTTGAACATGTAGACTTGGGTGGGTAGCGAGTTCTAAGTGTTGAATGAAGCCTTTCCCAGACTGGTTATATTTGTAGAGGTTCTCTGGAAAAAGAGTACACTGATGTTTACTGGGATTTGGACCGTGATTCCAGTTGTGAATATTCTTGTACTAACAAGTTTTTCCATCAATATAAATATCTTGCCAGGAGGTGGTGGCACACACCTTTAATCCCAGCACTCAGGAGGCAGAGGCAGGGGGATCTCTGTGAGTTCGAGGCCAGGCTGGGCTACAGAGTAAGTTCCAGGACAGACTTCAAAGCTACACAGAGAAACCTTGTCTCGAAAAACCAAAAAAAAAAAAAAAAAAATCTTTATAGTTACCTAGGATGAGACACTCCTGGATGACTTTCCTATTTTCATTTCACATGAACAAAACTTTCACAACGTCCTTATTTGCATTTTGGTTAGGAAAAATGAAGGGTTGAACTGAGTGTGGTGGCCCACACCTATAATACTGGCGTTTAAAAAGCTGAGGCAAGAGAATTACCATGAGTTCAAGGCTAGCCTGGAGTACACAGACAACTCTGGAGCAGCCTAGTCTACAGAGTGAGAGACCTGGGAATCCTTCTCTTCACTCTGCCTTTTTGCTTTGAGACAGTCTCTCCCACACTGGAGCTTATGGCTTGTGTCTAAGCTGGCACCTAGCAAGCCCCAGTGATCCTCTCATCTCTGCCCCTCTGAATGCTGCCATGACAGAGGCTGACAGGGAGATGCCCGTCTCGTTACATGACAGCTGAGATCCAGAGTCCGTCACTCAGACTTGAGCACCAAGTGCTCTTCACTGAACTCCAGCCCCCTCCTCTTCATTTTTAAAAATGATTTACTTATTTTTATTTCGTGTGCATCCATGTTTTACCTGCATGGACATCTCTGTGAAGGTGTCAAAGCCCTGAAACCAGAAATACAAGCATCAATGAGCCACCATGTGGCTGCTGGGAATTGAACCCAGGTCCTCTGGAAGAGCAGCCAGTGCTCTCAACCACTGAGCTATCTCTCCAGCTGCCCAACTCATCATTTTCAAAATTTCTTTTCTATGGAAATGTTTGAATAAATGTTTAATGCAATACTATACTTAAAATTGCTAAAGATAGCCGGACGGTGGTGGCACACGCCTTTAATCCCAGCACTCGGGAGGCACAGGCTGGCGGATCTCTGTGAGTTCGAGGCCAGCCTGGGCTACCAAGTGAGTTCCAGGAAAGGCGCAAAGCTACACAGAGAAACCCTGTCTCAAAAAACCAAAAAAAAAAAAATTGCTAAAGATATTTAATTAAAGCATGAAATAGGCTCCTTTTGACCAATTCCCAAATATTCTTTGAAAAATGTATTTCAGAGCATACATTTATTTACATAAGCATATTGTTCCCTAATAATTGCCATAAACTGAGTTATTTTCTGAACTGCTCTATGTAGAAAAGCTCTGTTAGCAGTGAAGTGATTATTATGGACAGTTATCACACTATTATTTCCAGTATGCCAAACTCTCTGATCTTCATATTCACCCACACTTGCCCATTCTTTCCTTAATGTAAACTGTCAAGGTCACAATCTCCATACCTTCCCCTAATGACCTTTTCGAAGGAATAGTTGTTACCCTGCACTCATGCTAGGAGAATAGGAAACAGAAGTCCACTCCTGTTCTTTTCCCACAGGTATATAAGACTAACCAAGGGACAATTACTTTGTAAATAATTGTCCTTGTAATGATCATTGTCAAAACTCCGAAAGCTATTTGGAATTTCAGTAAACCCCAAGTAAGCAACAAAACTTACAAGAAAGGAGGGCGGAGGAGGAGGAGGAGGAGGAGGAGGAGGAGGAGGAGGAGGAGGAGGAGGAAGAACCATAGATCATAATCTGAGCTCCTCCCCCAATCCAATACAATTTTCTGTGATGAAGATAAGAATAATAATTTAAAAGATTTTAAATCTTCCAACATCATTCTTACTTCTTGGGAAAGAAGAAAAAAGAACATATTGTCATAGTTCTGAAATTCTTTTGGGGCTACCTGGGAACTGGTTTCTGTTTGCACCACCACACCATATAGAAGACGCTAGATATTTCAGATCATATCTCAGCAAAGATGACAGAAAAGCTAAAGGAGCCAGGCAGTGGTGGCGCATGGCTTTAATCCCAGCACTCGGGAGGCAGAGTCAGGGGATCTCTGTGAGTTCAAAGCCAGCCTGGTCTATAGAGTGAGTTCCAGGACAGCCAGGACTACACAGAGAAATGCTGTCTGGAAAAATCTTTTTTTAAAAAAAACCCTCTGAATATTTTCTCACATTGCACCAAATGACAACATTTTGTCTTTTGATGGCTATCCATGCTGAAGGGAAATTTTGATTTGATCTGTATCATGACTTTGACAATGTCACCCTAAACATGGCAGTGAAAATTTCTCTTCAGTGTGTGATTTAATGTTCATTGTCTATAAATCCTGTAGTAAGATAGTCAGATTAAATGATAGTTCCATTTTCATTCACTTATTTATTTCATTTCCTACAGTACTTGCTAATGTTAAGCAAATGTAATCAAATAGAGCTATATCCTTAGCAAAGTCACTCTCTCTCTCTCTGTCTCTCTCAGACTCAGACACACACACACACACACACACACACACACACACACACACACTCACATTCTCACAAACAGAGAATATTTATAGAAGTAAATAAAAGTATATGCAACCTTTTTGGAACTGTTGCAAGAATAGACTTTTGAATTTCATTTATTGTTAACTTATATTGTGTTTTGTTTTGTTTTTCAAGACAAGGTTTCTCTGTGTAGTTTTGGTGCCTGTCCTAGATCTCGCTCTGTAGACCAGGCTCGTCTCAAACTCACAGAGGTCCGCCTGACTCTGTCTCCCGAGTGCTGGGATTAAAGGTTTGTGCCAGGAGCTGGAGAGATGGCTCAGAGGTTAAGAGCACTGGCTGTTCTTCCAGAGGTCCTGAGTTCAATTCCCAGCAACCACGTGGTGGCTCACAACCATCTATAATGAGATCTGGTGCCCTCTTCTGGCCTGCAGGCATACATGCAGGAAGAACACTGTGTACATAATAAATAAATAAATCTTTAAAAAATAAATAAATAAAATAAAGGTGTGTGCCACCACCGCCCAGCAACTTATGTTGTCCCAATGTATACAATATTAAAAACTGCCAGCCAATGATAATAAACAACTTAAAAACTAAAATTATTATCAGCTGGTGTGAAAGAACCTAGTCTAAAATAAAATAGCACCCAGACCACGGAATTAAAAAACAAGAAAAAAAAAAAAAACTACCTCATAAAATTCTTAGTAAACAACAATGTACTATGAAAAATGTACAATTTTCAATCTTGACAATATGCTCATAAAGAATGTGTGTTCTAAAGACTGAAATTCAGGGTTTAAAAAAAAAACTTCATACCCACAAACAAACAAACAAACAAAAAAGCACTAAAATCAGGTATACAAAGCTTTGGTAAAGCAATTGTAATGACTAAATATAGGAATGACATTTAAAAAAAGACTTTTTAATTGTCATGTATGTGTACGTCTGTGTGAATGTATGCCGCATGTGTGAGTGTGCTCATGGAGGCCAGAAGAGGGAGTCCAATCCCCTGGGCAGGCGGTTGTGAGCTGCCTGATGTGGGCGTTGGGAATCAAACTCGGATCATCTGGAAGGAACAGCCAGTGCCAGAAACTTCTGAGCCATCTCTCCGGCCCTGAAAAACTGCTTTAGAATGGGCATGATTTTCTGAGGCCCACAAAAAAGAAAAAGAAAAAGAAAGAAAGAAAAATCGGGGGGTTTATGCAGACTTTCAAAGGAAGGACTTTGCTGTCACCATTAATGTGACCTCATAAGGTCACTAGAGAAGGAGACTCAGAACACTGAGCAGTGTGATAGACACAGGGCAGCTGTCTTTCTGTTAGCAAAAGAAGCAAATGGAGTCCCTTGCAAAATCATTTCCACTAATTCAGAGTTCCCACTCTCTATCTCAAAGCTGGTTTAACTCCTGGATCTTTGGACCGCTCACCTGCGTCCTCAGATTCTTTCACGCCAACCTACCTGGACATATGGTTCCTGACTCTTGTCTCTCCACATTCCAAGGCTCCTTTCTCTGCTCCAGAAATGTGACCAGGTCAGGTTTACACACAGCAAGATCTGTTCATGGAAAGACAGAAATGATGCTTGCTTGGGATTTTCTCAGCCCACACTGTTCCTGAGGCGGGGTGTGTGTGTGTGTGTGTGTGTGTGTGTGTGTGTGTGTGTGTGTGTGTGTGTGTGTGTGTGTGTGTGTGTGTTATTTCCTACCAGACATAGTAGAACACACACGAAGAATTTTCAGTCTGGAGTAAATCAAAGGGAACGTCTGGACTTTAAGATACAGTCCATGATACTTCATGCCATCAAACTGTTCAAATTACCACCAATCCAGAGTGAAAGAAACATCCTCCCTCAAGAAAGGAGATTTTGCCGGGCGGTGGTGGCGCACGCCTTTAATCCCAGCACTCGGGAGGCAGAGCCAGGCGGATCTCTGTGAGTTCGAGGCCAGCCTGGGCTACCAAGTGAGTTCCAGGAAAGGCGCAAAGCTACACAGAGAAACCCTGTCTCGAAAAACCAAAAAAAAAAAAAAAGAAAGGAGATTTTAAAAGGAAATACCATTAGAAGGATCTCTCTCTTTGTGAGAAGTGGAAGCTCCTGAGAGATATTCTACAAAGGAAGGCAGTAAGAATTCAGTAAGGGAGAGATCCTCACCCAGAAAAACAAGGCTCCTGTAATTTTCCAACATCACATCCCTATACAGATTCCAGCGAGCAGGGTCTAGGCATTCCTGCTCCTCTGGGGAGAAATCAATGGATACATCCTCGAATGTCAACCGCTCCTGAAACAGAAAAATAGACAGTACAATGACCGTGTGATCTCGAACACCAGGTATCTTTAAAAAATGCCAACTAGTAATTTACAAAAAATATAAAACACGGATCTGTTTGAAATGGACGCCAGACAGTTGCAGGTGGGAAAGGGATCTTAAGAACTTACTACCCCAAGAGGACCCCAGTTCAGTTCCCAGCCCAAATATCAGGAGGCTCACAACCACCTCCAAGTCCAAATCCAGGGGAATCTGATGCCCTCTTGTTGCCTTAGGGCACCTGCACTTACGTCACATATCCTCACACCCATATAATATACATATGCATATACAAAAAAAAATTCAAAGAAAATTTTACTGCTCCCCGCAGGCTGCGCGGACAGAGTCCTGCATGGATGACGCCCAGGAATTCGGATGCTCAGGACGGGGCGGGGCGGGGACCCCAGCCCAGAGCTCCTCTCCAGAAAGACCCACACACCGGGAGTCGGGTCGTCCCCAAGATCCCGCCATCGCCTCATAGTCGGGGTGCAAAGGTCACAGATGAGCAGCGGGCCGCCAGCTCTGTCCCCTCGCTGAGGGGACCGAGGGAGCCACCCCAAAAGGAATCGACTGGGAACCGGTGCAGCTGCAGCCCATCCATAGGCCGGGCCCTACTCACCATGTCGGGATTCCGGAACCGCTCGTTTCCGCGGGGTCCCTTTCCGGGGAGTCTCGGTGCCAAGGTCCCTGAGTCTCCGGGTTCCGACTGTCCCAGCATCCTCACGGTGACTCTCCCAGCCCCAGCCCCGGAACTCCAGGGAGGAAACAGGCACCAGTCACGCGGTGACACCCACACAAAGCCTGCCAATCTGCGCTCTTCTCACGCCTGATTGGACCAGGATTCGAGCCCTTAAGCCCTGAGTGACAGGAGTGCTACCAATCTAAGACTGAGTCAGGACAAAATTCCAGCTACACTTTCTCTAAGGCAGCCTCCATGTTGGTTAACAGCCACCCGAGACATATTTGCATTTAATAATGAATATTAGCAATCCGAGGAAGTGGAAAGAAAGAGAAGGCCCTAGCCTGATTAAACTCTTGCCGCCTCAAAACAAAGAATTCCAGCACAACTAAAAAAAAAAAAAAATCCAGCACAAAGAGCAAAATGTGCTAAAAGGTTACCTACCTAAAGACAATATACCTTTTATAGTAAGATATTTCAAGGGGTGACTCACACCCTTAATCCCAGCACTCGGGAGACAGAAGCTGAATCTCTCTGTGAGTTGGAGTCCAGGCTACTCTACATAGCCAGTTCCAGACCAGCCAGGAATATATAGCGAGATGCTGTTTCATTTAAAAAAAAAAAAAATTTTTTCAAATAAGAATGATAAGAATGTTAAAATGCAGTGAACCACGCTTAAGGTTTGTGTGTATGGCCTTGCCAATTCCCAGATAAAACTTTCTGGGAATTATACAAACAAGACTATGAATTCCATTTACAAAAGGAAAAAAAGAATGTCTTAACTCTTTTGTTATTGATTTTGGGGGGGTTGTTTGTCTGCTTTGTGGGGGGAGGGAGCGGCAGGGGGGAGGGGGGAGGGGGAGTTGGGAGCGAAGAGGAGTTGTTTTGAGGAACCTGGCTGACTCCATTTTGAAGGCAGGAGCCATTATGCTGTATTGTTAAAAATAAGTTTCTATTTACTGTGAGAGCTCTGTTTCCTGGAACCTGACCTTCCCCAACCCCCCATGACCTTGATTTGTTTTTGAGAATACCCTGACTCTCCTTGACCCTCCCTGACCCTTCCTAATCCCATCGTGGGTGACCGAATAAAGTTTTATTAAAGTTTTTTTGTATTTCCTTATTGTCCCATTGTCTCCCTTCTGTAAAACTACTCATGATTTTCCTCCTTAAAAGGGATCCAAGAGGTGGATTCGAGTCTGCTCTTAGGGAGACAGTCGCCGGCCAGCTTTTGGGTGCACCCCAATTAAAATCAAACTTACTTCAAATTTGGCTCAGATTGTGGCAGGGGTCTTATTCTCACCGTTGGGGTTAAGTGTGTTGTTGGTGTTTGATACACAGGGTCTCACTCTGGAGGGTCCGGGAGTATAGGAATAAGAGAGGAATATAGGAATAAAAAGTTGTAAGCTTGAGAGATGGAAACTGACAGCCATCCACTTTGCCGGCAAACAGGGATTCATCTTTAACTAGGGGCTTGGTTGTTTTAGGATGGGCGGCGCTGGCAGCAACCCAAATACTCATTTTTGCTCAGCAGCCCGGGGGTTAGCTACTCTCGATAACCCCTACTACTCACAACCTCAACTGTCGTAAACCGAAGTTAACTTTTAACTTTTAACGAGCTCTGCATGACAGCCTACCTTGTATTGTTTTGTAGCCTCCCTGCCACGGGAACCCAGCTGTGTCAGGAAAAGCTGCAGGTTTGGGGCAAACATCAATGGGGTGTGTCAGGAAAGACTGCAGGGATGTATGAATATCAATTAGCTGAAACCCTCTGAAACTTGGTTAATGGGAAATTGTAGATCCTAAAACACAGTTTGTTTCTAAAAGTTTAACTTTGGAATTGTAAAAATTCTTTTGTCCATGCCTCATGCTTACCCCTTGCATACCCACACTCAAGCATGTACTCCCCTTTTCCTAAGTAAGTGCCTCCCTTTCTGTTTTAAGCCCTTGCTCTCATCTACGTTCACTCCACACTAAAATCTTATTAAACTCCAATTCTGCTCACACTGTTGCATTCTGGCAGTCTTTCCTGCAGAAGTCCTGTTATGCTCAGGTCACAGGGACCCCCAAAAGACCACCATGGAGACTGAATCCCATATGTAAAAGCAAAGAGCCTTTATTTCAAGCCCAAGCTTGGACCCCTCTCTATGGCCAACACAGAGGTGAGAGCAGAGAGCACTGAGCCGGGCAGGATAGGGTTTTTATCTTAGTAGAGGTTGGGGAAGAGGGGATTTCCAGGGTTCGGGATCCTGATTGGCTGACCTTTGTCAAGGGGTGTCTTGACTAAAGGGGAATAGGTGTGTGCTGGGCTCAGGTATCTGGTGATCTCATCTAATCTTATCTAATGGTTAGAATGTTTGGAACGTCAGGCAGTTCCCCTTAGATTCTGGCGTTCCCTGGGTGGTGTTAGCATAAGGCTTTTCCTGGATCTAGGTGCTGCCTGCCAGTAAACTGAAACGCAGGCCTGCTTTTTAGCTGATTTTTATGGAGGCTGTCATGGAGCAGTGGAGCCAAGCTGCTGCTTGGGTCTCATATCCCAACTCTACCTAAGGCTGTGACAGGTAGCAGCAACCTTGTTTTGTGAGACAGGGTCTCGGTCCCACTAGGCTGCGGCTTGTGGAGTGACCTAGATTGATTGCCAGTGGACCCCCTCTGCAGCACTAGGATTACAGGCTTGGTTAACCATTCCCATAGGTATTTTTATTTATTTATTTATTTATTTATTTATTTATTTATTTATTTTTAAAGATTTATTTATTATGTATACAGAAGAGGGTGCCAGATCTCATTACAGATGGTTGTGAGCCACCATGTGGGTGCTGGGAATTGAACTCAGGACCTCTGGAAGAGCAGTCGGTGCTCTTTACCTCTGAGCCATCTCTCCAGCCCGCCATAGTTTTTTATACGGGTGCTAGAGATCTAGCTATGTCCTCATGCTTCTGTCTGATCCAGGTCAGATATAGCTGACCCTGTCTTTTTATTTAACTGACGTGAACAGTGTAATGTAGCGTGAATTCTAATTGGTCTTAATAATAAAAACACGGAGTCAGATATAGGGGTAAATGCTGAAAGATCAGAGAAGTAAAAGAGCAGCCAAAGTCACCTCTTACCTCCATGACTCCTTAAACCAAAAAGGGTCTGAGCGTCTGTCTCTGCCTGACCTTATCACTTCCTCTCTCCACCCAGCCGTATCACTTCCTGTGTCCTGTCTGTACAGATCTACAGACCTCTATGGTTAAATAGTGGCTAGCTCCACCCTCTGATCTTCAGGCAAGCTTATATTTGTTAGAGCACAAAATATCACAGCATTTCCCCCTTTTTGTCTAAAATAAAAAAAAGTTATCAGAAAAACTATATACAATAAGTATATAGTTATATACAGACAATAATAAGTATATACAAATATATACAGGCAACAATTACATTAACAATGTCTAGTCCATTAACATTTGAAAAATTCAGAGAAAATACTCCATTATCTATCCTATCTTGGTGAGTCCAAAGAATTGTACCTAATTCACCTTCTATCCTAATTTATATTACCAACCCAAAACTGTATTTTGATGTCTCTCAGCCCTATAGACTTTACACCTCTTTAGTGAGTTTCTTTTCTGAATTTGTTACCAAGGAAAACTAAACATAACTACCTAGTCTTCAACTCCATCAGAAATCTGAGAAGGAAATAATATTACCTGACTAAGCAGAAAGTGGAAGCAAGCAAATTCCAAAAAGAATGTGAGAAATGACAAAAACAGCTGGCTGCCTGGACAATCACCCAAGGTTCCTCTGTAATGTTGGAGCATCCATCTTCAGCCTACAGGCCTAGAATATCTGACAGACTTTTTTGTGAAGCAGGATATTTCTGAAGGACTGTCCTACCTTGTCTTGGCAAAGTTTCAGCACTCACTTTCTTTTGTGTCCTGCTTGTCCAATTTGGACAGCATACTATCAGCAATCAAGACAAGGGCACTTTCTTGCCCAGTGGCTAACTTTTGCCACTAAGAATGTAAACTCCATATGGAGCTTCTTTGATGTTCATTATCTTCTCTGAAGTAGATTGGTGCTGCTGGGAGCAGACATGTCTCATTGTCATTAAAAAAAGAAAAAAAGAATCTATGTTATTAAAAAAAAATTTAAATGCCATATTCTGTAGATCTCCAAAGTGTTTGAAGACAACCTATCTAAAATATACTTCTGTTTGACCTTGAGAACATACCTAATATGACTACAAGTTTGATTGTAATAGGTGACTAACTACTAACCTGCATTTCTTTATTACCCTAAATAGTTTGTAATAATAACATTGAAGGACTAACAACTGCATTACATTGTTAAATGAGTTGTATAGGTAATAATCTTGAACAAGATTAGAAATGTATGTACAGTATGTTCTAACAAAAATAATCTCGTTTGTATCAATATACAAAAATCCATATCATTGTAAAATATTTGAAACAAGTAGTGGCTTTTTAAAAGTAGATTCAATAATCTATCCTTTTATCCTATCATTTCTATATCCCCCCTTTTTTCTTTCTAAATCAAGAACCCTAAATCTAATCTCCTTTGTTCAGCTTTTTTTTCTGACCATTACCAATAACAATTTTTAACCAACCACCCTAAACAATGACAAATATCTATAATCAACTGAATGACCAAAACCCACCCACCCCACCTCTTGGCAATGTGGGTGTCATGTTCTTAAGTTTACTTCCTGCTGTCTGGGGGTGAAGGCATCTTTAGGGGATCCTGACGAAAAATTTAGGTTAATGTCAAGTCCTGGAAGAGGTAGATGTATCATTTGTTTGTCCAGTCTCTGTGCAATAGGAAAGTGCAGGACTTGTCTAAAGTCCTGGCTGGAGTAGTCTGTGAGGTTGGACCATCTTAGCTAGGCACCTCAAAATTATCTTGAGCAGTTTTTAGTCCAAAGCTG